CTCTGCCTCTCTGAAATGCTGCCTTTCAAATAAATTAATTAATTTAAAGGGGGGGGCACTTGCACACCATTGGTGGGAATGTAAAGTAGTACAGCCATTGTGAGGAACAGTCTAGAGGCTGCTCCAACAGCTAAATAGATCCAGCAATCCCACTTCTAAATTCCCAAGTAACAGAAATTAGTAGGTTGGAGATGTCCAAAACTCCCAAATTCAACACAGCCTATTCACAAGAGTCAGGATGTGGGAACAAAGCACTCATCAATGAATGAATGGAATAAAATTAGATACACACACCCCCACACAATTGGTTTTAAAATACAGGGAGTTCTGTAACTTGCAACAACACAGATGAGTCTACAGGACTGTATGCTAAGTGAAATAAGCTAGATGTAGATAAATACTGAATGGTTTTATTTATATGTGAAGTAGGGAGTAGAAGAACAGTTGCCAGAGGCTGAGGGGTGGAGAGATAGATAAGGAAGGACAGCTATTAGTTAAAGGGTACAAAGTTTTAGTTACACAGAAGCAATAAGATATGGTGATCCACTGGATAGCATGATAACTGTAGTAGTTACTAACACTACGTTGTACATTCTTTCTCTCTGTCTTAACTCTGCATTTCAAATAAATAAAATAAAATTTTAAAAAAGAGAAAAAATAGGGGTTGCATTGTGGCATAGCAGGTTAAATTGCTGCCTGCAACACCAGCATCCAATTATGGATATTGGTTTATGTCCTGGCTGCTCCACTTGCAATCTGGTTGCCTGCTAAGGTGCCTGGGAAAGCAACAGAAGATGGCCCAAGTCCTTGGGCCCTGCATTCACTTGGGAAACTGGGATGAAGCTCCTGGTTCCTGGCTTCAGCCTGGCCCAGTTCTGGCTGTGGTGGTGATCTGGGAAGTGAAGCAGCAGATAGAAACCACGCCCTCCCCCACTCTGTCCTTCAAATAAATTAAAAAAATAAGTATTTCAAAAAATAATAAAATAGAAAAAAGAAAAATAATACATTGTATATTTCAAAATGGGTAAAAGAGGATTTCAAATGCTTTTACCACAAAGAAATGAGGTACAGATAAGCTAATCAGTATGATTTGATCATTTCACAATGTAAACATAGGTGGAAACATTGCATTGTATCCATAAATACATATAATTGCAATATGCCAATGTGTAAAAATTTTTAATAAGGAATATAACCAATATGGGATGGGGCTGGTGCTGTGGCACAGCGGGTAAAGCTGTCGCCTGCATCCCACATGGGCGCCAGTTCGAGTCCTGACTGCTCCACTTGTGATCCAGCTTTCTGCTGTGACCTGGGAGAGCAGTAGAAGATGGCCCAATCTGCTCCCAACATGGGAGACCCACAAGAAGCTCCTGGCTCCTGCCTGCGGATCGGCACAGCTCTGGCCGTTGCCGACAGTCGGGGAGTGAACCAGCGGATGGAAGACCTCTCTCTCTCTCTCTCTCTCTCTCTGCCTTTCTTCTCTCTGTGTAACTCTTTCAAATAAATAAATAAATAAATCTTAGAAAAAAAAAGGTTAGAATATATACAAACACAAACATCCGTAAAGAGACAGAGTCCCTATATACAGAACAGATTATCTATTGTTACTAAGTAGCTATAGTTCAGGTATTCCCTGTTTTTTTTCTTTTTCTTTTCTTTCTTTTTTTTTTTTTTTTTGACAGGCAGAGTTAGTGAGAGAGTGAGTGAGAGAGAGAGAGAGACAGAGAAAGGTCTTCCTTTTTCCGTTGGTTCACCCCCAAAGTGGCCGCTACGGCTGGCACGTTGCAGCCAGCACGCTGCGCCAATCCGAAGCCAGGAGCCAGGTGCTTCCTCCTGGTCTCCCATGTGGGTACAGGGCCCAAGCACTTGGGTCATCCTCCACTGCCTTCCTGGGCCACAGCAGAGAGCCGGACTGGAAGAGGAGCAACTGGGACAGAATCTGGCACCCCGACCGGGACTAGAACCCGGGGTGCCAGTGCCACAGGCAGAGGATTAGCCAAGTGAGCCACGGCACTGGCCCCCTGTTTTGAATAAACTCGATTTAAGATAATGTGAAATAACAAGAATGATAAATTAAGAAGAAATAATTTAATATTAAACAAATGATCCTTCCTAAATTTATCTGCCCTAAATGATTCTTTTCTTAGTGTACTGCAACTAAAATAGCTCCTTATATATGCCAACTTTTCAAGAAATATACCCTTTGCCAAAATAAATATTTATCTGAATCAGAAATGATTCAAATTTTTTGTGATCATTATTTTCATATTCACAGTTAATCAATCTTAAAGGAAGAAAAGGCTTTAACATTTACGTAGTTCAACACTTATTAGATACATAATTCATTATAACAACTATGAGAAAAGGTATCCAGTCTTGTTTTGAATACCTTATTTCCGAGAGTAATATGTGATTTGGGTAACCCAAGCAACTACTTCAAAATATAAAAAGAGCATTTTAGAAACAGTTCTTTGAATCAGCTTGGTCATACTATTTTTAAGGCAGTTGGAACTTCTCCACTTAGTAGTGTTTTCCAATCCTGAATTTATATTAGATTTTAATATATAAACATATATATTAAATTTATTTATTTGAAAGCCAGAGTTAGAGAGAGAGGGAGAGACAAAGAGAGATCTTCTATCTGCTGGTTCACTCCCCAGGTGGCCACAAGGGCCAGGACAAGGACAGCCCGGAGCCGGGAGCTTCATCTGGGTCTCCTCTGTGGGTGCAGGGGCCTAAGGACTCGGGCCATCTTTTGCTGTTTCCCAGGCAAATCAGCAGGGAGCTAGATCAGAAGTGGAGTACCCGGGACTTGAACCACCACCCATTTGGGATGCAGGCTTTGCAGGCAGCACCACAATGCCAACTCCCTTAGATAATATTTTATAATTAGTGCCTTGTTTGCTTGCTTTTTATATATATGTATGCAGACAGAGAAAACAGAATTACTTTACATAAGTTACTAGGCTAAGTTCTTTGGAGGAATAGGATTTGGAAAAAATCAGTTCCTGTCTTCCAAGAGCTCCCAACTGAGTGGGGAAACACACACTTAAATGTGGCCCACAAAAGACACACTGCAATGAACTGTCAGCTTTATTTTTCTCCTTTCTAACACAAATCCTATTAACTTCACTTTAAAAGTCTAGCAAACATTGCTGTTGAGAATCTAAATTAAATTAGCACCACCTCAACAGAAGGTTATTTGGCAATATTTATGAAAATTGCAAATGCATATACTCTTTGCAGTAGCTTAAAAATAAGCCAATAAATTCTTTGCTACTTTCCCTTGGGTTTAGGCTGAAGGTAAGCAAGTTACTTCTGATGAGAAGAAAACAGAAGCAACAGTGCGTGACTTCTGAGACTGGGTCATATAAGGTACTGTGGCTTCCATCGTGTTCTCGTTCTCAGATCACTCTGATGGAAACCGGTGGTTACTGTCGCTCCCCCTCTTCGTGGAGGAACGACACAGGACCCTGCGCTGTTCTTTTGTCTGCTCGGCCCTTCCCGGGTTTGCTGCTGGTTCTTCCCGGGTTGGCTACCGTCCCTTCCACCTCCGTGGAAGGGCGGTTCCCCCTGCCACTTTCCCTACTTCCGCGGGGGAGCGGCACACCGCCGGCCGGCTCTCTCGGGGGCTGCTCAGATGTTCCTCAGGTGTTCCTGGTGCATGTTGTCTCTCTCCTCCTTTATAGTCCTCTTCCACCAATCCCAACTCTGCTACCCACACGCCGAGTATGCTGCTCTCCTCCAATCAGGAGCAGGTCCTACAGTTTATTGGTTGAACTGGAGGCAGCTGTGTAGAAGCTGTTTCCTCCTCTCCCAGCGCCATATTGTGGGAGAGCAGATGCATAGAATAAGTCTTAATTCCAGTAACTTAGTCTAGTCCGAGTTGCTCCCCACAGTTACGTCATGAGAACACTCAGGCAGGGCTGTGGTAAGGCCTGCATGTCAAGGAACCGAGGCCTCCTCTAACAACCACAAGCGTGAATTACCTTCCAAGTGGAAGTCCTTGGCTGACTGCCACGCTGCGTGGTCACGTGGCCACTGACTTCAAGCTAGGATGAGAGGTCCTGGGCTACAACACCAAACCACGCTGTTATTAGATTCCTGATCCACAGAAACTATAAGTGGCTATTTGTTATTCACTCCCCAAATGGCAGCAATGACCAGGGCTGGGTCAGGCTGAAGCCAGGAGTTAGGAGTTTCTTCTGCGTCTCTCATGTGGGTACAGGGGCCCAGGCAATTGGGCGATCCTCTGCTGCTTTCCCAGGTGCATTAGCAGGGAGCTGCATCTGAAGTGGAGCAGCCTGAACTCGAGCCAGCGCCAATATGGGATGCTGGCACTACAAGTGGCAGTTTTACCCTCTATGTCACAATGCCAGCTCCAAGGGAGTCTGTTATTTTAAGCCATTGAGTCTTGGGGATAATTCATGGTGGAATAATAGACAAAATAATAATTGACAGGGCAGGCACTACGGAACAGTAGGTTAAGCCTCTGTCTGCAGTACCAGAGGCGCCAGTTCGTGACCTGGCTGCACCATTTCCAATCCAGCTCTCTGCCATGGGCCCCTGCACCTGTGTGGGAGACCTGGAAGAAGCTCCTGGCTGCTTTACTGAAACACAGCCACATCCAAGCATTTCCACATTATCTGATTGCTTTCTTGATACAATGGCACAGGCAAGTAGCTGTGATGCTATCTAGCCCTTTATAGAAAACATTTGCTGACCTTGGTCTACAATCATGGAAATTACCTACCCTCTGCCACTAAGGACAGCAGTGGTAATAAGAATCGCTATACCATGACAGTTCTTCCTGTAGAGGTGATCACCAGCAACAAACAGTTAAAAGGTAGGGGGAAAAAAGGGAGGAGAAACAAGACAGACAAAAGAGCTGTAAATTACACATCCATGATAAATATTTCAGACATATGACATGGGGAACCATGTTGGCTCTGAATGGGAACCACGTGAGAGAGACCCTGCTCTGCCTCCCAGCCTACCTGCTCTGCCAGCCAGGCAATGTGCTTGACCTCCTTGCTGCCTCCTGCTGTACTGGTTGCACCAAGCATGGTATTGAGTTCAGCCAACACCTGTGGGAGGAGAGCCATTATGTTGGTGTGGATAGCTACGAACCAGGAGTGTGCTGTGGCTGTGTCTTTGCAGCGTAGGATCAACGTGTTCCTGCTATCAGGAGAATGTAGCTCTATCAATCTGTGTGGAAAAAGAAAAAAAAGTGAGCTAGGTGAGAAGTCATCAAATCTCCCAGGGCTTTTTTAATACTAAGTTAAAACTTTATTGAATAAAGAACACTCTCCAGGGGGTCGGCACAGTGGCATACTGGGTAAACCCACTGCCTGCAGTGCTGGCATCTCATTTGGGTGCTAGTTTGAGTCCTGGCTGCTCCACTTATGATTTAGCTCTCTGCTATGGCCTGGGATAGCCATAGAAGATGGCCCAAGTCCTTGGGCCCCTGCACCCACATGGGGGACCAGGAAGAAGCTCCTGGCTCCTTGGCTTCAGATTTGGCACAGCTCCAGCTGTTGTAGCCATCTGGGGAGCGAACCAGCGGATGAAGACCTCTCTTTCTCTCTGCCTCTGCCTCTCAGTAACTCTGACTTTCAAGTAAGTAAATCTTTAAAAAAAAAAAAAATTCTCCAGAACACATGATCTGATGGATCAGGAATACATTACATGAAATAAAGCTGAACATGATTTTTTAAGTACTTAGGAAATTATGGCATAAGGTCTTACAGGTTAAAAAAAAAAAACACACAAAAAACTACTGTCCATATAGTGAATAGAAATTTATATTATGTGAAATAAAGAAAAGGGAAATTAGCAGAAGAATACTCCTTTTAAAGATTTATCTATTTCATTTATTTGAAAGAGTTTCAGAGAGAAAGGACAGCGATAGAGAGCTATCTTCCATCCACTGATTCACTTCCCAAATAGCCACAACGACCAAGGCTGGGTGAGGCTGAAGTCAGGAGCCAGATCAGGATCTCCCACATGAGTGCAGGGTCCCAAGCACTTGGGCCATCTTCTGCTGTTTTCCCAGGTGCATTAGCAGGGAGCTAGAGCAGAAGTGGAGCAGCCAGGTCTCAAATCAGCACCCACATGGGATGCCAGCGTTACAGGCAGCAGCCTAAGCTGTTAGGCTAGAATGCCAGCCCCAGGAACACTAGTTTTTTCTGAAAATCTGTGTTTTAATATATGGGTAATACAGTATGATTAAATCACCCATGGACTAATGGAAGAAAAGTAGTTAAGAGATCTTCAACACTATGACTGTTCTCTTATTACTCAACTGAGAACAACCTTTATTTCAAAAGTAACTTTCAAGAATTATCTATTGGGGCTGGCGCTGTGGCGCAGTGGGTAAAGTTGCCACCTGCAGTGCTAACATCCCATATGGGTGCCAGTACAATTGAGTTCTCTGCTATGTCCAGGGAAAGCAGTAAAAGATGGTCCAAGTGCTTGGGCCCCTGCATCCATGTGGGACACCCAAAAAAAAAAAGCTCCTGGCTCCAGGCTCCTGGCTTTGGATTGGTCCAGTTCCAGCCGTTATGGCCATTTGGGAGTGAACCAACAGATGGAATACCTTTCTGTCTCTTCCTGTCTCTGTAACTCTCCCTCTCAAATAAATATTTTTTAAAAGAATTATCTATTTTGGGGCTGGCGCTGTAGCACACCAGGTTAATGCCCTGGTCTGGAGTGCCTGCAGCCCATATGGGCGCCGGTTCAAGACCCGGCTGCTCCATTTCTGATCCAGCTCTCTGCTACGGCCTGGGAAAGTAGTAGCAGAAGATGGCCCAAGTGCTTGGGCCCCTGCACCTGTGTGGGAGACCCGGAAAAAGCTCCTGGCTTCAGCCTGGCCCAACCCTGGCTGTTGTGGCCATTTGGAGAGTGAACCAGCAGATGAACTACCTTTCTCTCTGTCTCCCTTCTCTTTGTCTGTAACTCTATTGCTCAATAAATAAATAAAATCTTAAAAAAAGAAAGAAAAATCAGAACTTATTCCTCATATCTAATTTGGAATTTAGTACTGGTTGGCCAACTTCTCCCCTTCTCTTTGCCCTCTCTATTCCACAGCCTCTGGTAATCATTATCTTACGCTTTACTTCTGTGAGATTGTTTTTTTTTTTTTAAAAGATTTATTTATTTTGGCCGGCGCCACAGCTCACTAGGCTAATCCTCTGCCTTGCGGCGCCGGCACACCGGGTTCTAGTCCTGGTCTGGGCGCCGGATTCTGTCCCGGTTGCCCCTCTTCCAGGCCAGCTCTCTGCTGTGGCCAGGGAGTACAGTGGAGGATGGCCCAAGTACTTGGACCCTACACCCCATGGGAGACCAGGATAAGTACCTGGCTCCTGCCATTGGATCACCGCAGTGCGCTGGCCGCAGCACGCCGGCCGCGGCGGCCATTGGAGGGTGAACCAACAGCAAAAGGAAGACCTTTCTCTCTGTCTCTCTCTCTCACTGTCCACTCTGCCTGTCAAAAAAAAAAAAAAAGATTTATTTATTTTACTTGAAAGTCATAGTTACACACAGAGAGGAGAGGCAGAGAAAAAGAGAGAGAAAGAGAGATCTTCCATCCACTGGTTCACTCCTCAGATGGCTGCAAAGGCTAGAGCTGCGCCAATCCGAAGCCAGAAGCCAGGTGCTTCCTCCTGGTCCCCCATGTGGGTGCAGGGGCCCAAGCACTTGGGCCACCTTCTACTGCTTTCCCAGGCCATAGCAGAGAGCTGGATCACAAGAGGAGTAGCCAGGACTAGAACTGGTGTCCATATGGGATGCTGGTGCCGCAGGCGGAGGATTAACTACTTCGCCATGGCGCTGGCTCTCCCCTTCACTTTTGAGGTAACAATGCAGTCAAGGAATTCATGCTACAGTAGATAACAAGTTCAACAAGTGACAAAGACTCGACTTTAGTGGGAATGTGGGTAAGGGCCGTAAACAACAGTCAAATGGAAAAATGACTCTCTCACCTATATGGAGCAAATCTCAAAGTAATCATCAATCATAAAACTATAGTAGTATAACATTCTTTTTTTAATTTTTATTTATTTATTTATTTATTTATTTATTTGACAGGCAGAGTGGACAGTGAGAGAGAGAGACAGAGAGAAAGGTCTTCCTTTGCCGTTGGTTCACCCTCCAATGGCCGCCGCGGCCGGCGCACCGCGCTGATCCGATGGCAGGAGCCAGGAGCCAGGTGCTTTTCCTGGTCTCCCATGGGGTGCAGGGCCCAAGCACCTGGGCCATCCTCCACTGCACTCCCTGGCCACAGCAGAGAGCTGGCCTGGAAGAGGGGCAACCGGGACAGAATCCGGCGCCCCAACCGGGACTAGAATCCAGTGTGCCGGCGCCGCTAGGCGGAGGATTAGCCTAGTGAGCCACGGCGCCGGCCTTTTTTTTTTTTTTTTTTTTTTTTGACAGGTAGAGTTACAGACAGTGAGAGAGAGAGAGACAGGGAGAAAGGTCTTCCTGCCGTTGGTTCACTCCCCAAATGGCCACTACGGCCAGCTCTGCGCCGATCTGAAGCCAGGAGCCAGGTGTTCTTTCCCGGCCTCCCATGCGGGTGCAGGGGCCCAAGCACTTGGGCCATCCTCCACTACCCTCTCAGGCCACAGCAGAGAGAGAGCTGGACTGGAAGAGGAGCAACCGGAACTAGAACCCGGCGCCCATATGGGATGCCAGCGCCGAGGCAGAGGATTAACCAAATGAGCCACGGCACCGGCCCCAGTAGTATAACATTCTTAACTATCATTTTGACAAATATATAAAACATAACTTGACAAAACTGCATTTGCAACAATACTGATATCTACAGGCATTTCTCTTTTTTGTTTGCGGATTTTTTTTTTTAAATTTTAGTTCCTATTTATAAGGAAAAACATGCAGTATTTGTCTTTCTGTGTCCAGATTATTTCATTCAACATGATGTCTTCCAGTTGCATCCATTTTTCTGAACATGGTAGAATTCCATTCTTTTTTTTTTTTTTTAAAGATTTGTTTATTTATTTATTTGAAAGTCAGAGTTACACAGAGAGAAAAGGAGAGGCAGACAGAGAAAGGCCCTCCATCCACTGGTTCACTCCCCAGTTGGCTTCAACAGCCGGAACTGCACCAATCCAAATCTAGGAGCCAGGATCTTCTTCCAGGTCTCCCACAGGGAGACCAAGGGGCCCAAGGACTCGGGCCATCTTCTGCTGCTTTTCCAGGCCATAGCAGGGAGCTGGATCAGAAGTGGAGCAGCCAGTCTCAAATCAGTGCCCATATAGGATGCCAGCACTGTAGGCGGTGGGCTTTACCCACTGTGCCACAACACCAGCCCCGAATTTCATTCTTTTTAATAGATGAATAATAGTCCATTGTGTATATATGCCACATTTTCTTTATCCATTCATTTTTTTTTTAAACAAGTAAGTTGTTTATTTTATTTTATTTTTTTATTTTTTTGGACAGGCAGAGTGGACAGTGAGAGAGAGACAGAGAGAAAGGTCTTCCTTTGCCGTTGGTTCACCCTCCAATGGCCACCGCGGCCGGCGCGCTGTGGCCAGCGCACCGCGCTGATCCGATGGCAGGAGCCAGGAACCAGGTGCTTTTCCTGGTCTCCCATGGGGTGCAGGGCCCAAGCACCTGGGCCATCCTCCACTGCACTCCCTGGCCACAGCAGAGAGCTGGCCTGGAAGAGGGGCAACCGGGACAGAATCCGGCACCCCAACCGGGGCTAGAACCCGGTGTGCCGGCGCCGCTAGGCGGAGGATTAGCCTAGTGAGCCACGGCGCCGGCCTTATCCATTCATTTGATAATAGATATCTTGATTGATTCCATATTTTGGCAATTGTGAAGAGTGCTGCCATAAACATGGTGGTGCAGGTATCTCTTTGATATGTGTTCTTGTCTTTTGGGTACATACTCAGAAGTGGGACTGCTGGATCTTATAGAAAGTTTATTTCTAGTTTTTAAGAAATCTCCACACTGTTTGCCATGTAGATGGACTAATTTACATTCCCACCAACAGTGCATAAGGGTTCCCCTTTCTCTACATCCTTGCCAGCATCTGTTACTGTCTTTCGAATTTCAGCCATTCTGACAAGGGTAAGGAGCTACCTCATTGTGATTGTGACTTGCACTTCCTTGACAGCTAGTGATGCTGAGTATTTTTTCATATATTTGTTAGCCATTTGCATTTCTTCTTTTGAGAACTG